GCACAGGTTTTTGAAATGTCAGTCACTACCACCGACAACAGTCCTTCTCAGGACTACACTAACCCGGATGATCACACTACACTTTCACATGTTACCCCGGGTTCAAGCCATTTACTGCAAAACCACATCAAGACATGAACCAGCTGACCCGTGTAATGTGTATCCTTTTGACCAGAATTTTTCAACTCAGTCTGATTTAAATGGAATATGAATAAAGGAACACGCAGCAGTGCAAATTGCCTTACACTGCAGGACTTTATAACAGTGTTACATGTGGATAACTCATAGGTCCTCAGTGACCCTTCAGTATAGAAGTAGACTGTAAAAGCTCGGGAACTAGATAGTTACGACACCTCACCACTTACCCTTTTTCAGCAAGCCAAAGGTCCAATCGTTCCCTTGTCAATAACATGAGAGAAAAAGAATCTTTAGATTTTCAAAGAATGGAGCATTACTGATAAATGATTCACAGTGCTAATCAAACATTTGAAAGTCATCAATTCTGGCACAAGTAACCCAACATATGAATATGTGTACGTATATGAGAACGATCCTTCGCAGTAAAGCACTATTTGAGCAATAGTGGAAATCAGACCTGAAAAAAATTTCAGGCCTGTACGGGATTCGAACCACTGACCTCTGCGATACTAGTGCAGCGCTCAAAAGCAGAAATTCTTTTATTTAAACGTATTAATTAATTATTATTTATTCAAAGCAGAAATTTCGTGGGTAGGTCATGCAAGACTGTTAGGGATCACAATAGATCACAAACTCATGTGGGTGAAGCATCTCTGGTTTGTCAGCAGAGTTGATACTGCCATGTTACACCTTTATTTTTTGATTTACACTGGCTACCAGTTAAATTTCAAATTGTTTTTAAAATTTTTTTAATTACTTTTAAGGTTCTTAAAGGTTTGGCACCTATATATCTAGCCTCTTTAATTTCCATAAGTCACCTTCATGGTATAATCTTAGGAGTTCTCGTGATAACTTCCTCCTTAGTTATCCTAAAAAGGTGTCTAAAGTAACTATTGGTGATCGCTCCTTCATGTATGCTGCACCAAAACTTTGGAACACACTTCCTCTGGAAATTAGGTCTGAAAACACTGTTGCTGGCTTCAAGTCTAAACTTAAGACACATTTATTTCCTGCTGCATTTTCATAGCCTGCCTAATATTAATTACTTTATTTTATTTTATATGTTAATTATTCTATATATTGTGATCCTAACCTATTTATTATTGTTCTCTTAGTTTTAAACTATTTAAATAGTGATATGTTGTAATGCGCATTTGAGCATATCCACATGGAATTTGCACACTACAAATGCTGTATTATTATTATTATTATCTCACAGATCTGAAGAACAGCTTTGTCACCAAACTAGACTTGTTAAAAAAGTGCTCTTTTCTGACGCGAAAATCACTCCTGGATTTATATTTTAAAGTGATCCCTCCTTCTGTGTCATATGGGATCACCATCTGGGGAAATTGCAATAACTTGGACCATATAAAATCCCTACAAGCACTACATTGTAGAGCTGCAAGGCTGATTTATAACTTGCCATGGGATACGTCATCAAAAACAGTTATGGAAGCTAGCAACTGGGACTCGATATACGATATGTACAGAATAATTCTTGTCAAATTGTTTTACAATATAGTTAGCGACAAAACGCCCCCTTTGATTTCTGATTTAGTTATGTGGAGAGACAGTCGATATAACCTAAGCTTAAGAGGACATAAGAAGGCTATCACTCCAAGATTTTCAACACAATTCATGAAACACTCAATGTTTTCGAGGCACCATACTGTGGAACTTCATTTCCAATTATTTAAACGATTCTCATAATTTCAAACAATTTATCAGAAGAGTGAAACTGGACCCATCACTTAGGGACCTTAATTTTATCAGCCTATCTGTTCAGACGATAACTACGAAGATGATGTGCGATTTTATATTTTAGACCTCTGAATTTTAGGTAGCGCATGAGTTCTAGAGTTTATTATGTAAAGTGTTTCATATTTTTAAACTTAGTTAAGTAATACACGACCCCACAAGCATGTACTTTGCTTTAACTACTGATCGTGTTTAAATAAAGGATTTTACTTACTTTACTTTTTCTGTTTACATCAAGGGCAGAAGTCTTTGGAATGTCACAATGTGAAGCTCTAAAAGTTGTTGCTTTATAATTGTACGTACATATGATCATTAAGTCATTGACTTGCATATTTAAGAGTAGTCTCTAGTCTCTTGTGGGTTCTTAGTAGGGTGGACAAGTATACCCATACCTTATATCAAGAGCCTTGTTTTTGTATGACTTTACTTCAGGATCATATGGAAAAGTAGACTGTAGTGTTACTTCACATTGGATTAGCTTTGATTGCCACACATTGTTTGATTGTACTGTAGAAGATTTACGATGAGATTGACAGTCAGAGGTTGATTTCTTAGAGGTCGATTTTACCCCAGACTTAAATGGTTGCTTTGTAGAAGCAGGAGTCAATACTTCTTTAGTGTTTTCCCTGAAAAGAAAAGAGTAGACTAAAATTGTTTCCCAACAAGTTTCATATTTTTTAATTAACCTGTACTAAAATTTAGATTCCAAAAATTTTCAAAAGATAAGTTAATTACCAAACTGTGTAATTTGCTAAAATTAATAATTATACACAATGCACTGTAGGTCTGTTTATTTTGTTCAATGCAAACACAATATCCCACTAAGTTATTCGAAGTGTCATTTCTCAATGAAGTGGCCCTATGGTTGTATAGTAATAAGTCTGATTACATTCTAACCCTTCCTTAACTGTCACGGGTTTCTTTGTAAACAGTTAAAATAATTTGTTGGTCAATCAAGATAAAATTTCGAGTTGATAGAATTATCTATTCTCATTGCCTCACTGCCTCACAAATATGTGGAGAAATGCAGGTTTATCACTCCTAAAGTTTGGAGAGTTAATGAGCACATCCTGAGTATAACTTACAGTCTGTAATAATTGTTCTGATTTTCTTTTGCAGAAGCTGACATCCAATTAAGTCTTTTCCCAAGTGTTTTAGATCTCATGGCAGCTTTGTCTGAGTTGGGCTGCCTGTGTATTGGAGAAATCACTGGAATTGAAATCTCATTAACATCTGATCAATATGAGGTGAGAAAGCAGAATATTTTAGAAGTCACTACAAAAGGTGAAATAGATCAAACAAAACAAAACAAAAAACAACATACTTACCTCTTTTCAACTCTCCAGAGTTCAAGCCTTTCTCTTAAAAAAAAAGAAAAAGAGTATTATTGTTACATTTATCTTTATACCAAAGCTCATCATATCAAATTATTAATCAATATTAAAAGCCAGCTAGGTTTAGGCTTACCTCATACTGAGAGTCTTGTCCTTGTATGTTTTCAGCTTTCTAGGTGTCTGTTTTGGAGGGGTGGTCTTCAGGTTCCCTGATAGTGCCAGGTTCCTGGCACTATCAGGGAGAGCTTTCCTTTGAAAAACACTTGAAGTCTTTCTTCGTTTCTGTACACCAGTTAACTTATATGCATGGTTAGATATCCTCTTGTATCTTTCTGCAGCCTGTAATGAGATTTTACAAGTCTCCAATCCATATAAACATATCATTGGAAAGAAGCACCCATAAAGCACATTAATAAAGCATAAAGATCTACATTTCAATACTTGTTATCAATTCTAATTTCACTTTAAAATTACTTTCCACCTACACTTTCTGGCTGTCTTTGAAGTATCCTTGACTCTCTCATTATTCTAGAGGTGGCTGATAAACTAAAAGATAAGACCTTTGTTATCAAAATGTGTTGGAAAATAAAGTTTAAGGTTAGCCTTGTCCCTAACTTAAGCCAAATATTATATAGAGACAGACAAAATATACATCCTTTTACACGGATAAATGCCATAGGCTTAACCAATATCACCAAGTACTTAGTAGTCTTAGAGCATCACATGGCATACGACGGTTTGATAGTACTGGATAGTAAGATGCATATTTTGTTCATCGAATCCATAGGGCCGAGTGAAACAAAGTTCCTGGGAGTAAAATAATGCATGCAGATCAACCTTAATCGCATATACCGCTTTCAATGCGATCGAAAATGAAGCGTACTGTACTGCCTTCTAGTTAACAGCGGGTATGTCATGAAAGCTTTAAAATTGATTCATGCTCACTCTTGATCTTCAATGATTTATACACACAGCAACAGGGCCTAAGTTTCCATAAGAAGTGAACGTAATTAGATTCCAAGATAACAACAAAAAAACCTTTTCTGGAGACAGTTAGCGTTCTTATTTATGTCTGACGAAACAGCTGATCCGGAACGATTGTAAACAGTCATGGCACCACAAACGGAAGACCTTCCTTTCATTCGACGCCATTTTTCCAACTTTTCTCGCATAAGATCTGAAAGAAACCGAGAACAACATAACATTGATCCTTAACCTCCCCCATAGTTTAAATTTTCTCAATAAAAAGACCTACCACTTGAGCTACAAGCTTTTGTTGGGGGAGCAAAACTCATCGAGTCCGCCATATTTTCAAACTTGAGGACGCCACCGTGTCAGCGTTGGATTGCGTCGTTGATTGGTTATTTCTTTAAACCTGTAAGGCGAGCAAGATAGCCAGCGGTGCGCAATTCACTCATAATGGCGGACAACTTGAGTGAAAACGAACAATCGATAACATTATTGTTAGATACTGTTGTTAGACGTCCAAATTTGCAACACTTTGTAATTTCTGAAATAGTTCGAGTTCTCGGTGAAACTAAAAATGATATAAAAAGCTTGAAAAGGACGCTACCATTTTATAAGCACTTAAACACATTTGCTGTTACGTCGTTGGAGTGGAGACTTGCTGCCTGTGGTATTCTAACTGAAGATGATAATGCTATATCAGCCATCTCTCTTTTACTGGATAAGATTTTGTTTCAAGTGGTGACTAACTCGGCCATAGAATGCGCTGGATACTGTGCTTATGTCTGGTTAGAGAGGTATGCTAAACATGTAATTATACGAGTAACAGTCAAATGTCAAAGTTGAGGGTCACTGCTTTCCCATTTATCTGTATTAATGAAGGGAACGATATATTAGGCTTGACGGCAAGATTTCCACATAACCCCAACATTAATTATGCACAGAGTGTTGCAAAGAAACCTTTATATGTAGTCTTTATGAAATGGACTGCATAATTAATGTACGGGGTTCTATGGAAATCTTTCTGGCTTGACAAACAGCATTCAAATAAATATACTTTAGCTATTTTGCATGAAAACATTTCTTTGGCTATTGATAATAATGAGATAACAGTGGGTATATTTATTGATTTGTCTAAAGCCTTTGACAAGGTTAACCACCAAATTTTACATGTTAAGCTTCTTCACTGTGGTATTTGTGGTGTTGCACTTAACTCACTTGAAGACTATCTTAACAATAGACAACATTTTGTGCAGTTTGATGGACTTAATTCATCCTATTCAAATATCAGTTGTGGTGTCCCCCAGGGCTCCATTCTTGGTCCTCTGCTCTTTCTTATTTACATCAATGTTACATGTGATCTCTTAAGGGGTTTAGACTTCAGTCTTTTTGCTGATGATAGAGACATTTTTTTCTCTCATAAAAATTTGAATTTTCTCAAGAAAACTTTGAATGAAGAATTACTTAACTTAAGAAACTGGTGCTGAGCCAATAAGCTTTCAATAAATATAATTAAATCAAATTTCATGGTTTTCAAACCAATACAGTAAAGGGAATCTCTTAACATTAACCCAGAGATTAATCAATTTAATATTGATCTAGTTAAAGAGTCTATAATGTTAGGTGTCATTCTTGACAAAATTTGTCATGGAAACCACACATTGCTAATTTTGCTAAGAAAGTTTCAAAATCCATTGGGTTAATCTATAAAGCTACTCTCTGCTGACCCACTTCAACTTTGTGTACCCTGAACTATAGTCTTGTTTATCCTTTCTTACTTTTTTTCATTATGGTATGGGGCTCCACTTGTCTATCCAACTTGAAATGTGTTGTCCTACTTCAGAAAAAGGTGGTACGAATTATGTCAAGAAGTACTTTGAACAATCATACTGAACCTATATTTAAGCAGTTGAAAATTCTTAATCCTTACAATATATATTGATTTCAAATAAGAAAGGTTACATTTTTGTTCAAGATAGGTCTTCCTGATGTTCTTAAAATATCATTTCAGTTGTCAAGTAGCAATCATTGCTATTACACCAGACAATGCAATTCCTTTTACCTACCCCCTTGCAGAAGAAAATCAAACAGTTTTCATGTTTCCAAGGACCTAAATTTTTCAATTCTCTGAATATAGAATCCAAAATTTTGAAACACTTTCCCTGTTTAAGTCTAAATTGCAAACATTACTCCTAAGTTGAATCCCTTCTTACTCCCTTATTTATTTATTTTTTCTCAAGCTGCTTAAATGTGTTTGTTTGAGTGCCTGATATTGTTGTCTTTGCTTTAGATATATGTGGGCACGTGTTCTTTCCTTTTTAGCCTTAAATATTTGTACCTAAATCATGCCAAGACTGATACCTCACTTTTGTAAAATATGAGGAGCCTGTAGCTCGCATAAGGCTCTTGGTTGCCCTATGGGTTTCCTTGCCACATGCCAAATCTTCATTCATATTAATGTACATGTAATTCCTTTTTTTATTTCTGCTAATGCATCATAAATTACAAAAAAATGGCAAATAAAATAATCAAACAAAACAAACATACAGTGAGTGATCACTTTCTATCTGGCTGGACTTTAGAAACACTGTTATTTTATTTTCAGGGTAGAAGCCCAGCACAAGGAACCCAAAGAAATGTTCAAACTTGATTTGCCAAATCCTTTGGAATATCTTAAGAATGAGGATTCAGCAGAATTGAGCCGGGCATCATCTGTGACTTTGGCATCATTTAGTGGACTAAGTAAAGAGCAGAGACAAATGCTCCTATCAGAATTTTCTCTTCTCCTTGAGAGCATTCCCAGCCAGTTTTATATCAGGGTTTTTGTTGGGTTTTTTGTTTTCTTAGAGCTCTATAGAAGTTTGTCAAACACAAACAATATCAGCTGCCTTTCAGAAATTGAAAATTGGACTGATGCATGGCTACATTTGCTGACTTCCAGTCTTTTTGGAAAATTCACGGCTAAGAATTCACAACCAAAGATGTCATTCCAAACAAAAAGATGTAACTTATCAGTCCACCATATTCTGTGTGGATTGATGGTTTCTACAAACTTTTTTATGCTGATTAAATCTCAGCCATGTACTCAAAGGAAGCTCTTGAAAGGGCTGGAACAATTAATAATATGTAGTTCTGGATTTACCTTAACTTGGCTTAACACAATTAAGTCATACTTTTAAAAATCAGAAAGTCTGGAATTAAAGTAAAGAATCAGGGACCAAACAGGAAAAAATGGGATAACACAGTAGTATAAGTAAACGTGAAGAATAGCTCCCTTACACTGTCAAAATGGCCAAAAGGCTATGGACAGGATACCTTTGGGTAACCAAAGAAAAATCACTTCCTTTGAATTGAGCAATAAATAGACACAGATACATTTGCAACGACATATGTTTCATTAACTTAGCAAGAGTCGGTGGAAATCATGAAAATTGACTTTGAACATAAGACAATAGTGAACTAGGTGAATTCTTAGACACAAAAGAGACTCACCACTCATAAGTAGATGTGCACGACAAAAGGTTAAAATCTTTCCTTTTTTTTTTGATGACCCAGCTCAACATGTTTTTCAGTCTCTTCCTTTTTTATTTCAGGACACTCACTTTTGAGATAAAGGATATGAAAGACCACAATGTTGACATAGAGTCCAGCATTTATCTGTAAATCCACCACATCTCCCCATGGTGTGAACACAAATGTTTTTTTTTTGTCCTATGCTTGCGGCAAGAAGGACAAGAAAGAGTAACACCGTGTCCAAAAATGTGGAAGGATTATTGCTGATGTTTCGCTAAATGATACTGTAACCTTTGATGGTTGGAAACTAACAAACTGTCTAGTTTCCTGATTTTTCTACCTTTCTCAGAGCTGAGGTCTTATGGATGACAGCGACATTTATTGGCATTGTTTGTTCAATGATTCTATAATTGCACAAATTTGGGAGCATTCAAACTCCCTTCTGTAATCAATAGTTCCATTGTACCATATAATACCTTATCAAAAATCTACAACTCTATCGCCAAACTCTGTCTTTATAATTTTTTTGCCAAATTGTTTTGTGTTTTCAAGCTCATTGGGTACAACTTGATCCATTACTTCTAACATTTCTTTGAGTTGCTCAGCTATTTTACAATCAAGTGTTAAGAAAGACGTTGCAACACCAAAATGCCCCATCCTTCCTGTGCGACCACAGCGGTGAACATAATCTTCAATGCTGTCAGGTAGATCATAGTTTATTATGTGTGTTACTTCAGGAAAATCAAGACCCCTTGACCCAACATCTGTTGCCACTAGCACATCTACTTTGCCATCACGAAATGCCCTCACCAATGTAAATCGGTAATCTTGTGGTTTTTCCGAGTGCAGGCCAGATGCATGGAACTGTTCCTTCTTAAGTAACTCAGTGACATAATCTACATTTTGGATGGATGATGTAAATACAATGACAGGGGGACTGGGTGTACTTTGGAGAACTTGGAGTAATTTTTCTGGTTTTTCATAATGATAAAGAAACATGACGTTTTGTTGAATAGTAGGTGATATCAGCCCAACAGGTCCCACTTGAATTGTAATAGGATCCAACACAGCAGATCTTGCCAATCTTTCTAAAGAATCTGGCATGGTAGCAGTCCATAGCAATGTTTGTCTTGCCTTCACAGTCCCAGTGGCAAGTCCAACAACCTTCCTCAACTGTTCTTCCAATCCCATCCCAAGCATCTTATCTGCTTCATCCATCACTAAATATGACACTTTGTCCAAACTTACCAGGCCACGTTCATACAAGTCGAGAAGCCAACCAGGAGTTGCTATGACAACATCAACTCCACTCCCTATTTCCTGTGCCTGAACTGAAACTGGTACACCACCACAAATCCCAACTGACTTGTATCTTATGCTAATTGGTGTACCTACCGGGGATGAGTAAGGGAAAGATGCTAAATCACTTGATACCCTATGATAACTCGGCATTCCTAGTGACCCTGTGTTTAACATGCTGTAAGGTAAAGAATCACTCAAATAAGAGGTACTTGTTGTGTTTGAGTTATTCAAATGCAGTGAATTGGTGTTTTCAGTGGCATTGCCATGGTTATTGTTTGGTAAAACTGTTGCTGTTGTCCTTGCTGTGATACAATACAATAATTCTGAAATATGATCAGACACTTGTCGCATCAGTTCCCTGGTGGGGGTCAAAAGAAGTGCCACAGGTCCTTCTCCAGGCAAACATGGCTGTCTTGTTTTCAAAAACATACACAACGGCAAGGAATAAGCCAAAGTTTTACCAGAACCAGTCTCTGCCAAACCAATGAGGTCTCTCCCACTCATAACACATCTGAGAGCCTGCATCTGAATTGCAGTAGGGCTGATGTAGCCATTATTCTGCAAGTATTGCTGCAGTTCGGGAGGTAAATTTAAATCGCGAAAACTTGTTATAGGCTTCGGGCAATTATCACCTTGGATCTCAATCCCATTTTGCCACCTTATTTCATCGATTTTTTCCTCAGAAAGCTGCGTTATATTTTCAACCTCCTCGTAGTATGATTTCATAAAGTTGTCTTCCTGTCCCGTTGTATTTCGTTTCGTAATTGTTCTAAGAGGAATGAAATCATCTTTAGACCTCTCACCTTTCGCTTCCACTTCGCTCGCCATCTTGCAAAGTTTGATTGACGCAAAGTTTACCTTTCGTTAGGTTCAGCGGCAAAAGTGAGAATATATGACCGCGCACAAATTTTCAGCAAACTGTGCTGTACAGACGATAGACACAGTAAAACTTTGCAAGCGAAGGCTCTTATTGGAGGTGTTGCGATCAAGAGGTGAAGATGAGAAGAGATAAATTTCCCTGAAATGGGTTATGGAGAATTGTGATTAATAATACCGGTCGCTTGGAGTGTTCTATTCGTGAGTCATGCAAAATTACTACATTGCAGGTTTCACTGTCCTTGTAGCTGTGCTATGGCAGGTCGGATTTCTTCACAGCCTCTGCTCGATATTATGGAACTGTTTCGTTATACTTATGGGGATTTTCTCAGGGGCAATGCTTTACCTCCTCTCCGGCAAACAACGAAACCCATCGACACCAAAACTTCCAAAGAAAGTTGAAACAGTCAGCCGTTTTCTGGCCAAGCTTACTCGAAGTCAAACTCACAAACCTTACAAGCATAAGACTGTTGTTTCAAGACCTGTGGACAAAACCATCCAAGAGGTGTTTGATTTGTTCATCCGTGATTTTTGCCTGTCTTGGTTTCGTGATTTGGGAAAAGATGAAGCTGCTTTTGTCGATTTACTTACTGAAGAGCTGTGGGTAGTGACGGCGAATCTTGTGGACAGGTTAAAATGCGTTGACACCGTGAAATTCTTGTCGAACGATGTGGTTGAAATTCTCAGCAGACACTTCCAACAGTTGCGACTCGCAGACACCCGAACTTTTTCTGATAATGCGATTCCTTTCGTTCTCCATCCATGCCTCGCGAGTCGAGCTGCAGAGCTTGATTATCTCCGCAAAGCTTCTGAGGTCATGCTTTACTGTCTTCTTCCTCAAAAGAACTCACATTGTTCCACAATGCGGTACCTTTTGCGCGAGATTTTAGCATTCTCTGTGTTTCAGCCTCTGGCCGACATGTTGTGCGACCCTGACTATATAAACCAAACCCTTCTCATCCATTTGGATGCTAAAGAAGCCCTCACAGCTCAACACAAGCAAGGTTATGCTTATGCAGAAACTTATGAAGACTTCATCAAGATGATCAATACATCAAATTCAGTTGAAGCTTTGAAGCAAATTAGGTAAAAATATTACAAGTTAGCAGAGATACAAACCAGTGGAGATTTCAAATCTACAGATTTTTTTTTGTAGCTGTAGCTTTTGCTCTGTGTCATTGTAATGCAACCCTCCTCGTGAAAAAACCTTTTACTCTTTTTGATCTGATTTCAGCACACAGGTATCACATCATTGCAGAAATCATGCAGGCAACTACAATTAACAACTTAAAGGGAATTGATCAGTTTGGACAAGATGACAAACAAGGAAAAGCCCTAAAGAAAGATGCTCAACTGAGAGCTAGGAATCTAAAACTGTACATTAACCAGTGTACTGTGGCTAAAGCTCAATGTGAACGTCGCATCAAAATGTTAGGGGGACCTGATTATAGTAATAAGGGAGGGACAGATATAATACAGACTGGACAAGAGAAACTCAAGGTTACTAAAAAACTGAGTGCAACATCTCAAGCCAAAGTGTTAGGCTTTCCTGAGGTGATGGATAACAGCTTGGCAAGGAGCTTTTTTATGCTTTTCCTTCAAAATAAAACTGGCAGCAAAAACATGCTCAGGTCAGTTTTGGGTTCTTTTTTTCTAAAGATTTATAACCACAATAATTGCAATTTAAAATTCAAATCTTTTTTAAATCGTTGCAAATTTAATTCAATTTAAACCCTGGATTTTGGGTTTTACACTTAAAAATATTTTAAAATTGATTTTGTCACAGTTCAAGTGATAGAGTTTTATTGTTTTCTTTGAATATAACATTTTGTATTTGAAATTCATTGATTCCCTTTTTCAATAATTGCAGTTTCTGGATGGCTGTTCAGAATCTTAAATTAGTAAAACACACCGAATTGCACAAAAGTGCACAAGAAATCTACCAAGTATATGTAGCTCCATCATCGGACAAATCTGTGATGTTGGACACCACTTTGGTGAGAGGAATGGAGCAGTACTTGTATGGTACACATGGACTTCAAGGGTTCTTTGATGCGCAGAAGAAGGTTTATAAAACTTTAGAGGAAAGGTTTTACCGCAAGTTTGTGCTAAGTGAAGAGTACTTCATGTTTGTTTGTCAATCAGAAGCAGAGTTTGATGATTTGCGTGCTCAACACAGAGAGGATGAGGACCTAGATTTGAACTGGAATGATGAATTTGATTTGGATACAACGGATGAAGAGGTATGTACATTCAGTCATTTCTAACCTAGGATAGAGAAAAACAGTTTTAAGTCATAGTACCTGGAATATCTATACAGTTAATAGATAAATGTAATTTTTGTAAGCAGAGTTTAAATAGATGCCTTGGTTAATTTTTGCAGGGGCTTCTTTATATATTTTTATAGGAGATAAGAATGTAAAAATGAATACGCTTGGTAACCACTATGCATATAATTTTCTTTATTCCATAAACATGTTCATATCTTTTCTGATTAATTATTTTATACTTTAGGTTGGAACAGAAAGTGATGGGACTCCAAAGCTTGGTATGTGAACATCTCCTCAGTTACCTTATATTTTTCAAAATTATTTCTTGCTGATCACTCAAATTTGCAATTAGTTTTTCAATTGTATTATTCCTAGTCATGAGGTCATCTTCAAAAAACTGTTTGAACAAAATAAAAAATGTTTGTACAAATATTTTTGGATGACTGAGGCACCAGTGAGAATGTCTTTTAATATTTGAATTAATTAGGAGATACCATTTTCTTTTTAGCACGCAAACCAAGTACTGTTGAAGAACGGAGTGAAGCAATTGTCCATAAGTTAGAAGTTCTTGATCAAAGACTTGCTTCTAAGGTAATGCCAACCTTAAAAGTAAATGTTCTGAATATATCACACGAACAAAATTTAGAGAACAGCTGAATGTTTTTTTAAAAGGCTGATAGTTTTTTTTATTGTTGAGTATTCTTTCTCTTTTTGTTAATACCTTGGCAATTAACATTTTATAATTATAATGATGACAGTTACAGTAGTGGTTTGTAGTCAGTGTTGTTAAGATATTGTAACAGTTTATTTATTTTAAAAGAAACTTTCTCTTCAAGACACAGCAATTGGAATTTGTGAAAAGAAGTTATGGAGCTGAGGTTGAGGTACAGAGCCAGCTTGTTAGAATTATAAATATGAGTAAAGAGCAATGTATTATTATTAAAAATAAGAATTTTTTTAAAGATATAGTTGTAGTTGTATGTGTAGAATTTTTGTGATCTATGTCAACTTTTGAATTTTTGACCCTATACAGCAAAGGCTTAGCTTTTGAGCCTACCAGGGTCACTTTCCCTGAAAAACTCAAGTCATTCACAATGATTTTGGATATTTTTATAACTACAGTTATTTTAATTGATTGTTTTGAACTTTTGTAAAGCTTCTTAAGTTTTCATTGGAGTGGATGGTTAGTCTCAAAGTGTTTCAGCCAAGCAGCATAACTGTAAATAATATTAATTGTTTGTTTTTTACTGATAGTAATATTTATTTTACTCCCTTTTTAGGAAATGGAACATTTAACTGGTGAGATTGAAAAGTTGAAAACAGAAAGAATGCAGCTGGAATTTCATGTAGAGAGAACAGGTACTGACAGAATACAGGATGTTTTTAATAATTTGTGCATGCACAGGCAGTCCAAGCTCTCTTTGAGAACCACACAAGGAACACAATTTGCATATTTATAAGGATTTGTATGGGATTTTCTACAAGACATCCACAAAGATAGTTAAAAGTGAAAATATTAAATAGAGATAGCTTACCTTGTTCCATACGTGTGTTGTTTGCTCCTGGTGTCATTATTTTAGTGATTTCACTTGATTTAAGTGTTTTTTTTTTTAATCCTGGTTATGTGGTAGAAAACCAGGATTTAAAAAAAACTGCTTAAATCAAGTGAAATCGGTAAAATAACGACACCAGGAGCAAACAACACACGTATGGAACAAGGTAAGCCATTTTTATTTTACATTTTCACTTTTAAGAGCAGAAGATTTAAAAGCAATAGCAAAAGGCAGGAGTTGCACAGGCCTATCGGCATCTCTTAATGGTTGACTGCCTTTTGCTTTCCAGCTTAACAGTGTGTCACTTCACAGAAGTTAGTTCATTGATCATTTAAGTGACTCCTTTCACTGCTCTAATTCAACTGTCCCTCATTCAGTGATCAAGATAGTAGATTTGCCAATTTACAAGACTCACTATTAGTTGATTTGCCTTTACTTAGAAAATAGATTTACAACACGATTGAGTACATATAGGAAATGTCCTTATAGTAGTAACCCTATGTAAAACAATAACATAAAACATAGCAATAGGACCTTTTGCGGCCATAACCAGTCTTGAACACTATCACTTAAAATGCATAAAACATGTGTACTATCAGAGAGCGTTTAAGAACATTTGGTCAGAGCTGTTTAGAAGGATCAAATTGGATCAAAGAAGGATCGAATTGAATCAAAGAAGGATCAAAGAAGGACAAATTGGCCACTCAAATCTTTGGAAGGCTTCAAAATATGCTGTACAACAAATTTGACAACAAATATGCTGTACAACAAATTCAAAAACCAGTCTCATTACTTTCCAAAAAAAAAGGTGCTTGTGTTTGTTGTTGAGAATGAAGGAATACGCTACAAATACGTTAAAAAAATACTTCTACACATTCAGAATATGTCAAATCACATTTACCTATTGTGAAAAAAAAAAAAGGAATGGCCTAACTTTTACAGAATTTTCAGTCAAAATCTGCTTATTTCTGCTGCTTTCACAGGCATATTGAAAAGAGCACTACTAGAATGCACCGACAAGGCACTCTTGAGTGGTATAAAGTGGTTAAATCTGATGCATTCTGGTAAAAAGTGATGAATTTGAGAATTCAAACCCTCTTTTTGTATTCTTCCTAAATCCTGATTATAATGGCGCTTGCTTGCTACACTCACTGTGCAGCAAATATATAATTTTCCAGTTATCAGACTTGGGTGAAAAGATGGTTGAGTGTTGTGAATTATGGAAACAACAAAAATTTTGATCGGTCAGCTCTAGTAGGCATGGCGACCTGAAATTGTCTATTCAATCCTTGTCTTCATTCATAACTGACCCTGCCTTTTTCTTCAGATCAATGGTGTGAAAACTTAGGGATGTGGAAGATAGAGATACCTAGTGTTGAGGTGGGTTTGTAACTGTACACACTCCATTGGCAAATTTTATTCACTAGATAGCCTGATCCATGTATAATTGCAATGTTTTTTTTCTTTTCCCTTTTTTTTTTTCTTTTTTTCACACAGTGCAATATAGATGGTGATAGGTCAGTACCTGTGTATGCTATAGTGGTTCACAGTGCTGGAGACAAGGCACAATCATCTGGCAAATCACATGGGGGAGGTGGAAATCTCAATTCAGAAGGCTGGGTTGTAACCAGGAAGTTCAAAGATTTTGAGACTCTCCATGTTAAATTAAAGGAGGTAATGATATGGCAAGCATGGTAATGATATGGCATGCATGGTAATGATATGGCATGCATGGTAATGATATGGCATGCATGGTAATGATATGGCATGCATGGTAATGATATGGCATGCATGGTAATGATATGGCATGCATGGTAATGATATGGCATGCATGGTAATGATATGGCATGCATGGTAATGATATGGCAAGCATGGTAATGATATGGCATGCATGGTAATGATATGGCATGCATGGTAATGATATGGCATGCATGGTAATGATATGGCATGCATGGTAAT